ACCCTGTCCCATAGGCTTTATTACAGAATACTCATTTCCCAGAGGTGGGTTAGAAACGAGGGCCGGAGACAATAACCTCACCTGCTTCAAATCAGTCTGTATGCGTGAGCAAGAATTCAAATCTTGTTATTTCTGCCTCCAAAGGTGTTGCTTTCTAAACAGTAGATCTTACCCTGTATTGACTCTAGTATTTCCTATTGGAGGTTTCTAGAAAGAAGGTTCTAGCAAATGGTATTTTTCAAAGAAAATTTTAATAACAAAGCAAACTCCAAAAGGAAAATAAAGGCTTCTCCCTGCCCCATACTGAAGTGTGCATGCGCGTGCACGCACTCACACAGGCATGCGTGCTCAAAGCAAGCATGAGAAAAGCTGCCAGTACATTTTCCCCCATCTGACGAACTGTTAAATGACACTGTTTGGGGGAACACATTATCCTTTGTGTTTTCCCAATCCCACGGGACAATTATTGCATTTCTATTCCGCCTCAAAGGTGAAGGAGTTGACAGTATAATGAATAAGGGACCTATGTACAGGCCCTGAGGCAAGAGATTAACAGGTAGGACCATAATGCCTTTATTGAGCAGACAAACTCCCTTGGGTCCACTCAGGAGTAGTGACAGGTGTCAGAGTCAGGCATGGGGCCTTACAGCCTCTGTGCCCTGAAAGGCAATTAGATATTTGCTCAGTGGCCTACACTTCGTGTATATCCTCCAGTCATGCAAACTGATCATTCCATCTCCCTCTTTTCCTTGGGGGCCTTTAGACTCTAGAGCTCTCTGCCCAGGATCTTCCAGCAATTAACATTTCTTTTCTTAACAAAAAAAAAGAAAAAAAGAAAAAGAGAGAGAGAGAGAGAGAGAGAAAAGACTTGCATTATTGGTAAGTCTGAAATTAGAAGGAATTTTAACTTGTTCCTGGAACAAATTCTAGGGCATTTGAATTGAGAATGGAATTGGGGTAGGGGTGGGGGGAGATCCCAGCTGGGCAAGCCGGAATGATGAAATTCATGGCAGACAGCTTTGTTTGATTCTTTTGACTATGGCCAAGCCAGTAGGGCTGAGAGCATGATGTTCTCAGTAACAGCCTTGACAATAACACGATTTGTTTCTCTTCCAAAGCTGAAAATGGCATCTCTGCCTGCAAAGGGGAGCTTTCTTCTGAACCTGTGGGATGAGAGGGCTGCTTTTGTCCTCCAGAATAGGAAACGAAGGCATTAAGCAGAGCAGACTGGAATTGAAATGTCATCTGGCAATAACACTTGCCTAAACAATGCATGTTTTATTTGATTTTATTTTGGACTTTTTCTGTGGGTAGGATTTCAGACTGAGATGTTCCTTCCTCTTTCCTAACCACCAGATTGAAACTGAATATTGCCTTGGTCCGGGGGGCACAATACCTATGTTATTTCTGTGTGGTTTTCTTTTCTTAACATTTTCTGGATTCTTTCAGGGAACTGAGAGAATGTAAGTAAGCCTCGGTACATTCTCAACAGGAAAGACTGAAAGCTCATAGGCATTTATGCCACTAAGAAAAATAATTGTTGCAGTTAGCTAGCAGTTAATAATAATTGCAGGTGATTGTAAATATCCCGTCCTGAAAAAATTTCTACAGACAGAAGCACGTGAAGGTGCCCTTGCTTTCCTCATCAGTGAAAAGCATAGATTAAGCTGAGCTCCGGCCAAAGTGCTGCTCTAGTGCTGGAGGGAAACAACAAGTCAACAAACATGGGATCCCTGTCCCTCCTGAACTCGCGGTGTAGTGTGAGACAAGGCACGCGCAGTTGCATACATGCACACGCAGGTGAAGGAGGCTCAGTCTCCTAACATGGGCATTGCACAAGTTCATTTCTAAGTCAGTGGTTCGAACTTGCATTGCATCTGCCAATATAAATTGTACTATAAGGGTTAAGTAGGTTCTTAGGCTGGCAAATCACAGCCAAGGTGCTTCTTCAAACAAGTATAGGATTTGTCCACTTTTCATAACTTTGTCTCTACGGACAAAGGCATTGATTGATTCCCACAGTGTTCGTAGCAAATCCCAGAGGCACCAAGTCACCATCCTGCAGAAGGGAGTGTCCCCACTCCCTTGTTCCTTTTGCATGAATTCTGCTTTTTTAAGAGTTTCAGTGGGGGTGAGGAGATGGTACCTGGCCATTGGTGGGAGTATTGAGCAGTAGGTGGCTTGGGTGGGAATGGGAAATCAGGAAGGCATTTAAGGCATTCAGGGAGTGGCTAATCTTGGAAGAAATTGAGATCTTAGCCATGGCACTTGTTAGTTACGAGGCCTCAGGTAACACCTTCTTGGTGAGATTCTTTTCTTTTTTCTTTTCTTTTCTCTCTCTTTCTTTCTTTTTTCTTTCTCTTTCCTTCCTTCCTTCTTTCTCTTTTCCTTCTTCCTCTTCCTCTTTTTTCTTTTGAGATGGTGTCTTGCTCTGTCACCTAGGCTCAAGTTCAGTGGTGCAATCATAGCTCACTTCACCCTCCAACTCCTGGGCTCGAGAGATCCTCCTGCCTTAGCCTCCAAAGAAGCTGGAATTACAGATCCACACAACTGCACCCAGCTACAGAGAATCTTTGAAGCTCAGATTTCTCATTTGGAAAGTAGGAACGGCAATAATAATAAGTGATGCTTCCCTCACAGGGGTATTGTGAAGATAAGGACATCACCTCATACTATTCTCCATCACATTGTCACCATTTAGTAAGTATCGAATCTGGATCTGCTAGAGAAAGACACAGCATGTACAAGGCTATCAACAAGTACAAATACATTGAATGCAAACTATTTACATACAGGCTGAGAGATAGGTGTGGAACCGTTTGGATATGAAGTAATTTGGGGGCAGTAGATAAAGCTATACAGGTCAATTCTGGAAAACTTCTATGTGGGTGACCGTCTCATTGGGCAACTCTCTTAGCATAGCAATAGCCAGGCTTGGTGGGTTCTTCATGACGGTCTTGGTTTGGTCAGCACTTTCGTGTGGGGCTCTGGCTCTGCTTCTGTCTCTGTTAAGAGGGCCCCAGCTCTACCTATCTAGAGTTGCAAGATTTAGCAAGTAAAAATACAAGATGCTCAGTTAAATAAACAGTAAATAATTATTTAGTATAAGTATATCCCATTCAGTATTTGAGATATACTTATCCTAAATAAATTCATTTTTTTAAATCTGAAATCGAAATGTAACTGAGTGTCCTGTTGTATTTGGCAATGCTTCTCCTGTCATCTCAAGGTCTAAGGGGACAAGAACAGAGCTCAACGGGATACCCCACTCTGATGTCTTGGGGAAGAGGGATTATCTATGCTCCCAGTGGCTACTTTTCTGGAAAACAGTGAGCGTGGTGCTGAGTGACACAAAGAATTTCTGTTGTCAAGAAAGTTCTGTCACCTTCCCTCTCCTTAGCTCTTCACTTTGGATCAGGGACTCTCCTTGCACAAACACCAGGATTGATGACCTGGACTGTGGTAGCCTTGGGACTTCAGCCTCAGAAGGAGACTGCTTCCTTCCCTGGCTAAGGATCTAAACGCCATCACATGTGACCATAGATCGGGAGTTTGTCTAGGTTCCAAGTGGTCCGCTGCCTCAGAGGTAAGCCTTGCAGCATCAAATCCACCACCCTTTTCAGTGCCACCATCTTTATGTCTCCTTGATAGATACTCAGCCTTGATAGATACACATGGGGACCTTCCATTGGCCTTTTGCTCTGTGGAGATCGAGTCCTTGTGAATTCTTCACACGACAGCATGGCTTGAAGAGAAAGATATAAAGGGCAAAGAGAACCTTGTACACAAATAATGGTATTGCTGACAGAAGTGTGGAAGGAGTGATGTTAGGAGGAGTGCAAAATGTTAATCCTATAAAGTAGATGGTAAACTAATGCTGTCTAAATCAGATGAAACAAGATCCAAATACACGATTCACAGTGATATGCATGGCCAATAGGAAACCTAAAAAGACTAATAAAACTCAAGAAAGAAAGATAAAGAGAGTGTAAGGGAGCTCCATTCTTCATTTTTTAAAATAGAAAAAACTGTAAAAAAGTTTATAAAGATATATAGTATACCAGTTAGGTTTCAATAGGCTATATCGAGGACACAACCAATGCCCAGATATTAAAAGTATGCTTTTTCCCCCCTTAGTCTTCCAGTCTGTGGCTGTGACAGCCAGCCTTCAAGATGGCCCTAGTGATCCTGACCTCCTGGCATGCACACCCTTCTGTTGTCCTCTCCCACATGGCACTAGAGTTGGTTTTCTACAACCAACAGAATACTACAGAAATGATAAGATACCATTTTTCAGATTAGGTAATAAAAGACACCGTGGCTTCCATCTTGAGCACATGCTGTCTCTCTCTTTCTTGGATCACTTATTTTGGAGGAAATCATTTGCCATGTTGAGTAGCCTGAGGAAGAGCCCCATGTGGTAAGAACTGAGACTTCCTGATAGCAACCAGCAAGAAATTGAGTCCTCCTGCAGATGTCTACACAAGGGCGTTATACTGGCAGCAGATGCCTGAGCCCCAGACAAGCCTTTAGGTGGCTTGACTGCAACCTTATGAGACCCTGAGACAGAATCACCCTACTAAGTTGCTTCCAGCCTCCTGACCTTCAGAAATGTTGTGAGACAGCAAATATTTTTATGTAAGCTTCTGTTCAATTTTAGGGTGATTTGTTATGCAGCAATAGCTAACTAATACAGTGGCTATGAGTTTGCTGAGACTGTTCCACAAAACATATGAAACCCAGGCTGGAAGAGCAGACCCTTGGACATCTGTTCTCATGGCAGAGGAAAAGAGCCCGAAGGGAGTGGAAGCCCACAATGGCGTTGGACTTCCTGCTTAGAACTGGCATATGTGACTTCTGTTCACATCTCCATTGGTCAGGGTGAGTCACAGGGGTGTGTCTGTTTATGGAGTGGCAGGTAGACTCCTTCCACTCTAGAAGGCACTGCCTAGTCAGCAATGAGGAAAGAGGGTATCAGTAACTGAAAACTGATACATTTTATCTCAAGAGGTCTGACGTATTTGTGAATCTATGCACAACATATCTTTGGAAACATACACAGGAGAAGAGAACTTTGCGTCTAGGGAAGAGAACTTAGTATCTATGGAATAAGGATGGGAGGGAGATTTTTCTCTATATGCCTTTTTGAATCATCCAGGTAAATATAGTACCTACTTAAAAATGCTTACTTTAAACTGAGCTGTGAAGTGGAAGACATGAGCCTTCTGTTTTGACTTAGCTGCCTGCAGATACTTGGAGAAGCAGCAGTTACTTATGGAGACTGCAGTGAGGGTAAGGCAGGAGCAGCGAGGAGCTTTGATGTTTTCTTTAGGTTGTGTTAGTTATTTTTAAAAAATAAAATAAACGTTTGCTTCTAGGAAGATGGAGTAGATGTACTTTTTCCTGTTTCTTCACTAAATACAACTAAAATCCCTGGATACTGGATCTAAAACAAACATGAGATGTTTCTGAAAGGTGAAGAGAAGGAGGCACGAGCAACTAGGGACCTCGGGACCTGTGAAATGACATGGTGGTGAGTTCCCTGAGTTTTCTTTTTGCTTCATTTACCCCAGGCTTGGAGCTGAGGAAGCCAGCAACCCAGAAAGGCTAATAGGAGCAGACCCCTGGCCCCTGAAAGAAGCCCCAAAGAAAGCCTTCTCTCTTTAGCCAAAGGAAGAGGAAAGGGGCAGTCTAGAAAGACAGACAGCTTTTAGCCAATAACTGCTCTGCTGTATTTTAGCCAAACATCTCAGAAAAAACTGTGGTCCCACCCCTACCCCTACCAGCAAAGGCCTGGTGGAGCACCTACATTTCCCCTTCTGTGAGGCTGTACCAAGGAACACCCATTCCCCACTGCAATACTGTCAGAGAAGACCCCGTAGGCAACCGGGACTTGCACCTCCGCCGGCCTGTACAAAAGTATCCCACTCCCCACCAACAGCGTCAGTGGAGATTATATGGGGAGCCTAATTCCCATCTTCACCCAGCAGTAAAAAGAACCCCCATCTCTGGTGCTGAGTGATAGACCTGGATTTCTGGCTCCATTTGGCAGTAACAATGAGGTGTCTTCCATCCCCCACCCCTCTACCCGCTCCAGAGCAGGGTCAGAGGAAGCCAGTTAAAACCAGGATTAGATAAGATCCAAAGTCTTGTAACGTATTTTGATATCCAGCCTTTTACTGGTTTCCTAAAACTGCTAGGACTAATTACTTTTAACTGAGTAGCTTAAAACAACAGAAATTTATTATCTCCCGGTTCTGAAGGCCAGAAGTTTAAAGTCTAGGTATTGGCACTCAAGCACACTTTCCAAAGACCCGAGGGGAGAATCCTTTCTTGGATTTTCCAGCTACTGGTGGCTGTCAGCATTCCTTGGCTTGTGGCCTCACCGCTCCACTCTCTGCCTCCATGATGATCCAATGGTCTCTTCCTCTTCTGTCTGCTTCTGAGTGTCTCTTATAAGGACACTTTTTGCTGGATTTAGGTCTCACTTGGATAATCCAGTATGATTTCTATCTCAAAATCCTTAGCTTAGTTACGCTGCCAAAGACCCTTTCTCCGAATAAGGTCACATTCACTGGTTTTAGAGATTATGACATGTGTATTATTTGTAGAGCTACCACCATTCCACTCAATATAAGGCTTAGCCCAATTCTATTGAAACCTCAGCAGGAATTTTGTAGAAATAGACAGGATTATTCTAGAATTTATATGGGAAGGCAAAAACTTTAGAATGGCTTAAACAATTTTGAAAAGGAAGAATAAGAGGAATCAATCTTTCAGATTTCAAGACATATTAAACAGTTACATTTATCAAGACTACATGGCCAGGCTCAGTGGCTCACGCCTGTAATCCCAGCACTTTGGGAGGCCAAGGTGGGCAGATTACTTGAGGTCAGGAGTTTGAGACCAGCCTGGCCAACATGGTGAAATGCCAACTCTACTAAAAATATAAAAATTAGCCTGGTGTGGTGGTACATGCCTGTAATCCCAGCTATTCAGGAGGCTGAGGCAGGAGAATCACTTGAACCTGAGAAGTGGAGGTTGTGGTGAGCTGAGATTGCACCATGGCACTCTAGCCATGGGCAAGAGTGAGACTCCATCTCAAAAAAAAAAAAAAGACCATATAATACTAGTAGAGAGACAGACACATGGATCTACGGAACAGAATAGAGAACCTAGATAGAGACTCACACAAATATTTCCCACTGGTTTTTAACAAAAAGTTTTTTTAAAAAAAAGCAAGAGCAATGCTTTGGAGCTCTATCCATAGGCAAAAATTGAACCTCAATCTAACTTTCACACTTTACACAGAATTAATTAATACAAAATGAATTACGAACCTAAATGTTAAATGTATAACTATAAAACTGTTAGAATAAAATGGGAGAATGTTTTTAGGAAATAGGGGAAGTATCATGAGACTTGACACCAAATGTACAATCCATAAAAGGAAAAATTAATTACTTAGAAATGTCAAAATTTTGCTCTGTGACAGACCCTATTAAGTGGGAGAAGCAACAAGATACCTAGTGGGAGAAAATATTTGCGCACCACATATCTGACAAAGGACTAATAACTGAATATATAAAGAACTCTCACAATTGAACAGTGCAAACTCAAACAATGTAGTCAGAAAATGGGCAAAAGATATGAAGAGATATTTCACCAAGGAGGCGAGACAAAAGGCAATAAGCACATGAAAAGATATCCAATATCAGTGGCCATTAGGGAAATACAAATGAAGACCACAATAAGATATTACTATCCACTCAGCCGAACTAAAATAAAAAATAGTGACACCACCAAGTGCTGGTGAGGATGCAGAAAAACTGGGTGACTTACACATTGCTGGTGGGAATATAGAGTAGTACAGACACTCTGAACACAGCTTGGCACTTTCTTATAAAAACTAAACATGCAACTACTGCATAAGGCAGCAGTCACACCCCTAGACATTCATCCTAAATAAGTGAAGATTTACGTTAATACAAAAATTTATACGTGAATGTTTATTGCAGCTTTTTTGTAGCAGCAAAAACTGGAAACAACCCAGATGTTACTCAAAAGGTGAATGGTTAAGCAAACTGGGATACAGCTATAACGTGGAATACTACTTAGTAATAAAAAGGAACACACTACTGATGCTTGCATCAAACTGGATTAATCTCCAGAGAATTACACTGAGTGAAAAAAAGTGATCCCAAAAGGTTACATACTGTATGGTTCCATTTATATATCAGTCTAGAAATGACAAAATTTTTAGAAATGGAGAATAAATTAGTGATTACGCAGGGTTAAGGAGAGGGTGAAAGGGCAGGGGCTGTGACTCTGAAAGAGCAACACGAGGCATTGATGCCAATAACTGGTTATGATGTTGTGCCATAGCTTTGCAAGATGTTACCACTGCAGAGAACTTGCTAAAGAGTAAAAAGGATTGTCTGTATTATTTCTTATAATTGCATGGGAATCTACAATTGTCTCAAAGAGTTGAATTAAGAAATCTGAAACCAACTTTAAAACTGATGTTTTTGTATTGCTTTTGAAATTAAAAATAAAATAAGTGACCTACTGGGAATATATACTTAACACATATTACAGAGGATTAATATTATTATGATAGCATGACCTTTATGTGATTAAGAAAAGAGCAGACAACTGAATAGAAAAGTAAGAAAAAGCTACAAACAAGAAATTCTCAAACTAAGAAATGCAAATGGTCAGCCATAGTGTGACCATAAGCCCATTCACTGACCCTCCAGTCAGCACCCACTTCTGTTCTTAAAATACTCCAGATTGGGCTTATGCTTATAGTCCCAGCACTTTGGGAGGCCGAGGTGGGCGGATCACAAAGTCAGGAGATGAGACCAGCCTGGCTAACATGGTGAAACCCTGTGTCTACTAAAAATACAAAAATTAGCTGGGCATGGTGGTGCACTCCTGTAATCCCAGCTACTTGGGAGACTGAGGCAGGAGGATCACTTGAGCCAGGGAGTCGGAGGATGCAGTGAGCTGAGATGGTGCCACTGCACTACAGCCTGGCAACAAAACGAGACTACATCTCAAAACAAAACAAAAGCCTCCAGATTGGAAAATAAATGATAGGATCATCTTACTAATAAACAGATAAAAAGATGTTCACCTTTTTAAGTAGTGAAAGAAACGTGAACAAAGTTACTGTTTTTTGCTATCAGCTGTTAAAGAATAAAGGTTTGCTAATTCTCAGTCGCAGCAGCGTGGGAAAGGTATGGGCTTATGCTGTCCTAGTGAGTATATAAATAGACTCACCTTTCTGGGAGGGTAATTTTCAACACGTTTTAAAAAACCTTTAAAAATATATTCCCCCATTGCACTCCAGCCTGGGTAACAAGAGCAAAACTCCGTCTCAAAAAAAAAAAAAAATATATATATATATATTCCCATCAACAACAATTCCATTTCTAGAAAATGAGACGAGTATAAAAAGATGAATCCTGAAAGATTTTCATTGAAATGTTGTCTATACATTGAAAAGAAACCAAGCAGCAAATGTTCATTAATTAGGAATTAGGGATGGAATGCTTACATAAATAATGATATACACATACATGTATATTTGATGAAATATTATGAAGCCATTATACACACACACACACACACACACACACACAGGAAGTATATACCAGATATTAATGTTACCATATCTTGGTAAATGGGAAGCTTGTTAAATGCTTACTTTCTTCTTTATTCTGCCCTGTATTTCTAAAGTATTTTCAAAAGGCATATAATCATGATACAGCAAATCTGCTCTTAAAAGAACAAAAAAATTATACCTGGAGGATCAAGGTAGCCTCAAGGAGATGAAGTGAAGCAAGAAAACTCAGTGGCCTTCAGGGAAACTGACTCCTCATCTAAGAGTGTTGTGAGGGCTGGGCCCTGCTAGCTTGAAGAATATGGTCACCTTACTGGTCTGTTTTTGAACGCAGTAGCTCTGCATTCAAAATTAGAACACATTAAAGAGGTATTTTATAAACAATAACATGTAATGAAAATGTTGGTTATAATTCTTATTAGAAGAGGCCTCTCCATGCTACTGAGATAAGATTTAAGGGCTGCTCTAAAACTGATGAGCCAGCTGGATCCTTGCTGCCCATGAACCAGGTCCTCTGTGCTCAGTTTACATCGACCTTTGGCCATCCTTGGGTGCCACAGTGAGATGTCACGTAGTGTGGTACCAAAAGTGAAGATTTGGGCAATGTTTAAAACATGGGCTCAAATTCTGATGGACCCATTTGCTACCTTAGAAAATCTGGGCAGGTTGCTGTAATTCCCTGAACTGCTGCTTCATTCACTTAAAATTGAAGAAAATAATGATTCTCATATTACAGGAGTGTTCTGAGGATCTCGTGCCAGGTCATGTGGAAGGGCTTGGCCAACGCACATCTGCAAAGCTCGGCTAGGATTATTAGAGAGGCAGTATCCATGCTAGGAAGAGCATGGGCGCTCGGGTTAGAAGCCAGAGTGGCCACTCTGTAGTCACATGAACTGGATAAGTTA